TTATTGAAAGTGAATCGGTAATAGAATAAATAAGAATGTGGAATATAGCCACAATAGTGGTAAAGGTAGAACGATCCATATATTCATCTATTAATATAAATGCTTGAGCTCTCAATACATTCATATAATCACGTGTTAGAATACATATTGTTTAAAATCAGATAATGTGGTTATGTAATGGGTTTCCCGCACCCCTGCAGCTATTGGAGGTTCTACCATTCACTCATTAAACACATTTGCTTCAGATCCACATTACCTTCAGATGCTGCAGCAAACATCTACGTTGTCACACATATGTTAATACAGTATTAGTGCCAGGTGTATTAGTATTGTCATTTGGAAAATATGTAGACTCGTGGCCTAAAGCCCTTGCGTTTTGATGATTTTCAGTATCATTCTTTGCTTGAAACTGAGCAAGACTGATAGGCCCATTGAATACACGGGGGCCAGAGGAAAGGAACTCCACATAATAGTTGCAAGGAACGTCGGGTGCTCAATGTGGGATTAGGTGGCTCAGAGGTCACACCACTGAGCTGGAACCACTGAAACCCTGGGATTGAATGTTGGGTTTCAGTCACTTGTGATTTAAGCACGGTTCTCAAGTGCAGCAAGTTGATGTGTCTCAGCCCAGTCACCAATAACTGCACGAAAAAAAATCATCCCATGAAACTTGATTTGTCCTTTAAATTGACTAAATTCCAGTGCCTGCAGCTTACTCATTTTGGTTTGATTGACATGTCATGATCAATCGCCATATGGGATGATAAGATTCACCCCTAGTGTGGCTAAAAATGTATATTTAGTGCCATCTTCTGCAACTGACACAGCATGATCGTCGGCAGTCTCTCGGAGTCCGAGGATGACGTCCATCAGGTTTAACGGTGGCTCTTCAGGTGGCCGATGAGTCCAGTTCTCGATCGGCAGATCTTTGGGCATTGAGGGCGCCACGCGGTCCCAGATGGAAGTGGAATCCGCAGTGCCGGGTCGGCTTCTTTCTCCTATCTGTTTTTGGGGTCTCGAAGTGCTCCACGGCCTGGTGGATGCAGCGGCGCCACCCACCCTAGGGAGTTAGCAGCCTGCCGCTCCTCCCAATCTCGGAGGCTGATTTTTTCGTCTAAAGATAAAATAATAAATTAAAATAATAAGCATATTACGACGTTTCGATTGCAACACAAGCAATCATCATCAGGCATAAAAGAAATAGCAACAGAAATTTAACTAGAAAACTATAGACAGACATACAAGCAGACAGACATCACATGTCTGTCTATAGTTTTCTAGTTAAATTTTTGTTGCTATTTCGTTTATGCCTGATGATGATTGCTTGTGTTGCAATCGAAACGTCGAAATATGCTATTATGTTAATTTATTATTTTATCTTTAGACGTGACTTCACCGAAAGAACCAAATAATAATTCCTGCAGTCACGAAAGCTCCAAAATTAAGATTGATTTTTTCGTGCTTCAGGAAGGACTTGAGTCTCTTCCTTTGGCCTCCCCTCGCCCCCGCTGCCCATTGGAGAACTGGGAGATGATGCACCATTCGCTGCAAACTTCGCACCTGGAAATGTACGGTATTTTTTGACATTCCAAAAGCAGCAAAATTGGAATATAATTGAGGGGGGGTGGGGGGGATCAAACCAAAAATGTCGGGTGCTCTGAAAAAATGTAAGGTTACAAATATGGGTATGAGGGAGTAGCGAGGCAGTGGTTAGCGTGCTGTTCTATGAACCTTGCCCCCTGAGTAAAATTCCTGGACCATGGCTAACATCAGTGGCAAATGATATCTGAACCAGTTCTGGATATCTCCCTTACCAAAGCCGCGCTGACCAGTGTGGCCACACAACCCTCATGACCAACACGAGTGTGGGGAGGCCTTCATCGAGCAGTGGATTTATTATCATTATTTTTTTAGATATATATTTTTAAGTATAATAATAGATGCTCCTATATGATTCAAGTAAATTCTTGCGCCCTCAATTTTTTTGAAAAAATATATTCCTAGGTCCTCAAAAGCATTGTCTTGAACAAGACACAAATCTCAATATCATGCCACCACCATACCTCACCAGTGCTTTCCACCCTTTACCAGATCCTGACAGCTGCTGCACAGTCGTCACGCGACCTCCAAGGTCTGCTCTGACAGCATCAGCAGCCACCAATTGGACTTAGGTCTTCCCCTTCCTTTGTGACCAGATTCGTGGAGACGACTCCAACGGCCGTCTCAGCAAACGGGCATCCCACCCAGCGCAACCATTTTCGCCTAATCACTTCTACTCACCTGTCACGTTCTCTTCCGGACTTGTTTATCCTGCATTGCCTATCCTGTCTTGGCACGGCATTCCAAGTTGAGTGATCGCAAAAGCTTTTTAATGTCAGACTGGACATTTTACCTCCCACCAAGCGCTAAGATCAACATGAATAACTCAACCCTAGAAAATGTAAATGGATGTGCACGGCGAAGCCATTTGCTCATCTTGCTTAATAGGGGACGTTTTTTGGTCATTTACAAATCGCCCCCCTCAATGTGTGGCCATGTGTGGGAAGGACACTCGGTGTCCCCTGGCACGTCAACCACAAAAGCAGCTGCTGGGCATCAGAGAGAGTTCAAATTCCTCCCTTGACATCAGATAGCCGAGATAACCTCGCGGATCAGGATTCATAATTTAAACGCGTTCCCAATACAAGTCGACATTTGTTTTAGTCTGCGGGCAGCATTAGTTACGCTTTGTAAATCTCTCCGCTCATGACTGCTCCCCTCCACCTTGCTCCTCTTACTCTCCACCCAAACCCATCCCACCCGTGCCACGTGCCTTCATTTTCTCAGAGCTAGCAAGACTAATTGTAGCACCTCTCAACCCGTATGGCTAAGTAAGTATATACATGCTTTTGGAGGAGGAATTCTGACGCAGTATGCCGTGGTAAAATAAAAAAAACCCACGTGCGTGCCTAATGTTAAGGAGCGTGAGCATATTGCATGCATTATTTCATTTTGTAGATTCGTTGATGTGGGAACCAGGTCCTTCTATAGCTCAGTAACGGATGCTGTCGTATAAATCCTCACATTTGACACGGGGCTCTCAGATGTATTCCTCAGCAACGATCACCTGCTTGGCTGCCAATGTGCCAAACACATTGTATTGAGTTGTGTCGCTGATACATTTCAATAATTAAAACGAGTTTGTTTCACTGGTCTCTCGGTATCACTGTCTCGGCTGCTACATTTGATAATATTAATGTCCTCCATTCACCCGTGAAACCTTGCCGAATTTCAAGACTCTTTTTCAGTAGAGTTCTGCATGGGGATGTTTGGCAAGTTCCCTCAATGCATGTTTGGCAATGTTTGTGGAAACCAGAGTACCTGGAGAAACGCCATGCATATGAATGGACAACACTCAATGCCCTCCACAGATAGATTAAATAATCCATTGCTGTACTGGCAACTCCTGGCCAGCTCCATGCCTATGGGTCAATTCTACAAATATCGGTATTCCCAGGCAGTCTCCAAGTACTAACCAGGCTCAAACATGATGAGCTTCCAAGAAATCAGGCACATTCAGAGTTATCTGTTCATGGGCACATCCTTCCATAGTCGTGCCTTCCATTCATTACGAATGGTTGTAAGTCACTACAAAGGTTCGGTCAAGGAGTGATTATGGGAAAAAGTGTTACGTGCTAAGCTGGCTCCATCTCAACGATACAGGTTTCCCTCGCTTTATACCAGTTCGATTTGTGCAATTTCCATTATACATGCGGCTAATGTATTTCTACCCAAAATGTGTTATATGCGGTTTGAATTCACTCACATGCGGCTATGCGCTCGGACGTGGTACGACATTGTGTAGTGTGTAGTGTGAATGTACTGTGTGTATACTCTGTATGCTGCTACTCGTCAGGCTGATGTCCCGTTTGGTTTCACTTTGCGTGCCTTTTCTACTACCGCATAATTGATAATTGAATCTAATCACGACTCCCGCATCCTTACAAATCATCTAAGAGAGGTGAGGGTGAATCTGTGTGCGTACATGTATAACCCTTTTCTCAATCCACTGCTGGATGAGCGCCTCCCCACGCCGTACGGGTTGAGGGCTTATCTAGACATACTTCACCATGCTCGTTTAGTGCGGTTTGGTTTGGTGACCGTGGAGAGCATAGTTGTGGAAGCATAGAAGTACAGCACTGCCCTCTGGTTTCCATCATGCATCTCGACAGCCAATAGCATACAACACCTGCCATGCGTGGTGATCGCCCATTCAATAACGATCCAGGCTCCATCCTTCGAAGCTTCTGAGCAATGACAGGACCGGGCACATTCCAGATGATTCAGTCACAGGCAAACTAAAACTATGTGAACATTTTTTTTATTTTACCAGGTAAGGCCCCAGTGAGAAATATAGAAGCGATCTGGCCACTAATGATAGTTCAACGAAGCAGGATTATCATGTGGAAATGTAAAGCAGCCCAAATACTCGAAACGCACGTTTCTAAATATGGAAGGAAAACCCAGAGGACACGGAGAAAAATCCACAACCACGGGATCGAACCCACGACCTCCTACATGCCATGCAGAGCAATCATTCGCGGTTGTGCTGTAGAGCTATCTCTGCAGACGTGTTTTCGTGTTGTACCGCGAGCTGTCCAGTACAGTGTCAGACGTTCCAGGAACTGACCTGCATTCATTTTCTTAAGAAATGCCCCCAGCACGTGCAGTGGACCACAGCGCCACGGCAACTGCAAGCGCGCCACGGCACACCACAAACAAAAACGCAGCGGACAGAGAAGCGACGCCGTCGTTCATTTCGTTCCCAAGCATCGCATCTCTCCGAGTGATTTGCTCCGGCGCAGCGGTGGATTTCAAGCGGCGTGTGATCGTGCGTGCGCGCGTGCCGAACTCAAACAAACGTGTTGCATGTTAGCCCCCTCGCCCCCTGCCCCCCATAGGTTCCTTCTCACCATTTCACCCCCCCCCCCCCCCGATGCCCCTTCTTGCCCCGCGAGCAGATGGTTCGCATCCGCCTACCGCTGTGCCAGGGCGTGCTCAACGACAACAGCTCCACTGCGCTCATCATCGTCGGCTTCGTTCTCATGTCGCCCCTGCTGGTGCTCGCGCTAGCCGCCTACTGCCGCATGGCCCGGCGCCTCCAGCTGGGCTTCTGCTTCCTGCCCTACAGCCGCGCCGTCTACAAACCGCCGCTGCCCGCTGGTCTCGCTGCCCCGCGCTGCCCGCGGCTGCTGGCGCCCTGCTGCTGCTGCTACTACACGCGCGGCTCGCTGTCGGGTGGCAGCACCACCCCGCATGGCACGCGCTCCGTCTGGGTTTGAAGTCACCAAGCGGTCTCCGTGGCATTCCTCGGCTTATTCACCCCCCCCCTCCCCCTGCCTTGCTCAACCCCTGCTGCCACTCTCTCTCTCTTCCTTTCTCTCATCTTCATGCCACCCCACCCTCTCGTACCTCTTTTCCACAGTATGACCGCGCCACGCCGAGGCCGTGCCGTGCCAGCCCGGTGTGGCTCAGGAGGCATCTGGTTGCGTTTTTTTCCACTGCGGAGGCCGAGCCGTGCCGCTGATTTCACGCGCAACGAATGCATTGTTAACACCAGCACTGAGCGTGCTTGGCCCAGAGCCAGATGTCTCGTGAGGCCTGGATATCACAGTTATGGTTTTGGCTTGGCACAGCAAATAGCCAGTGGATTAAAACCTACACCGGGAGGCCCTCCCGCTGGCTCGGCTCAGATGTGCCAGTGGAAAATGGGTATGAGCAGCTGCATACGCTCGTGTGGAGTGATTGGCGGGTGGAAATGGCATTAATTTTTGTTGTTGTTGAGATGGTTGGATGACTGTGTTGAGGTCATCGTTACTGTGGTTGCTTTTTTGGGTTGGCCACGGGCCCGTGTAAAATGAATGAAACGGGCCCAACCCGCCTGTTCAGTTTTCCAATCTTCTTTTGGTAGCTCGACACCTGGGCCCCTCCAGCCTGTGAGTTACGGTGCAGTTGCGCTGCCTGTACCCTCGAAAGCTACGCGACTGCTTTAGGAAGTGTGCTTTCCTTGGGGTTTTTCATTTTGTTATAATGTCCCCCCTCCCTTTGTGGTTAATTTCTAGAGAAGCACTGGTCAAGAGGCTGTTGAATTTGTGGGTCGCTGCTTGAGATTCTATCACCGGCTATGGTGGAGTGGAGTTTGATGGTTTCAGCACCCTCACCGATAACGGCGCACAATTATACCACGAACGAATTGTGTTGAATTACATTTGGCTGAGTTAATCTCCCCGAATGCTTACCGCGCTTATCTATCTGTACACTTGCAGACAGCACAGTTTGGAGATCTTGGTAGGATAAGTCCTTGAGGGATGCCAGGGAACGGTCTGCAATGTATATTTTGGTTCATTCTACAAAGTAACGTATGGCTTTGCTGTCTTTGGCCAATCTATTCAATCTGGAAATTAATTTGCTTTGTGGCTACATACGAAATCAGAGGTGGGATATAGTGATTACTTTTTTTTGTTCAACATAATTAAATGCAGGTGGGATACCAAAGCCAAAACTGGTCAATTGTGTCTGGATTATAGCGAGTGCCAATGTTTCTTTGCGGGAGCAGCCACCACATGATGATCGTGGTGCCAGCCTGGTTGCCATAGTTATGGGATTTAAAAAAATACCCACAGAGCTTAAATGCATAATAGCTTGTAGGCTGCCCATGTACAATGTAGGCTTATCAATTATTTTGCAAACAAAAAAGTATATAGCGAGCAGTCTTTGATAGTTTTGGCCAAGTCGGCTAAAAATGTAATTCAATTTGATTGCTTCCAAAACACATAAAAACGTGTATTTGCTAACCACTCAGAAATTATTGCCCAAATCGAGTACAGACATTCTCATACACACACAGATTGTCACGATTTGGAATTGTATATCAACTAAATAATCTTTTGTTTTTATTTTGGAGTAAATTGGAGTGTAAGGGTTACGCAGATTCATTACATGCAGCATCAATAGAATATAATCGATTTTAAACATTCTCCATTGTGGTTGGACGAATAACAGAAAAGTTGCATTCATAACCAGGTGAGAGCCCTTTGAGGCCAAAAGTCTCTTTTTCAGGGATAACCTGGCTTCAAACAGAGTTCTGAATCACACAAAAACCCCACAAAGTACAAAACAAGACAAAAAATAGAGCGCTATAAAAATTATTTTAAAAAAAATTAACGTTATCGATAAAGATGAAGAGAAAATAAATGCAACGGGTTAAACATAATACTTTTACGTAACAAAAAAAATTGCTGTGCAGAAAAACTGGTGGCTAATTTGCCCACTTCATCTGTCCACGGTAGTTTAAAGGAAGTCTTAGGGTCATTGAGGCTCACTGGCGGATGGAACGGCAGGCAATTTGTAAAAATGGGATATGGTTATTTCCCCAGGTCTGAACTGCTGGCCCTTGTTAAAGCGTCCATGCATAGCCAGTGGCCTCTCATGATAACCTTAGCACAGGGGTCATTGTGAAGGCATTGTGCTTGGGTTTAGGGAGAAGAACAGTGGTGACAGCTCTACGGATTCACGCGCACACTCGTTCTGACACTGATGAAATAGCGGACGGATTGCCTGTCCCGGGCAATTGGCAATCGGCCAGCCGTTAGAAGAAAACTGGAAGAAGTGAGTGTACATACGTCAATCATTCTTACTGTGAACTTGCAGCATCTTGGGCAATCTCCGTTGACGGAGGACAAAACGAGAATGACAACACGGGCAACAGAAACTGACTATAGCGATCGCAATTCGTTACCGAGTGCTGATGATGTCCCAGATGGACACACAAACAGAAACCACCTGACCAAACTTCACACATGGCACTTTAAATTTCACAGTCCTCTCCATGTTGTTTGGACTGCATGTTGTCAAATTAATTAGTGATGTTGGCCTTGACTGAGATGAGCAAGTGTGTGACCCTCTTTCTGAGATGATGCATCATTCGGGGAGACTGATGTTGAGCGTGCAATGTTCGGCACGATGTTTGACGTTCTGCTGCACGTGTTGGGAGCCCCCTCAAGACACTCCCTGAAGAAGTTCCCAGCACGTGGAGAGAAACGTCGGACATCGTAGCAGAACAACGCGCGGCACAACCATAAAACACGCCTGAGAGCTCCTTGGTTTCTTATAGCCGCTGGATGTCAGAATCTCAAGCAGCGGTGCCCTAAATGTGTTTCAACTTAACTTCATTTCCGAGATATGTTTTGGAGCGTGCGAGCAAAAAGCAGTTTGTAACGAGGTGCGGGAAAGAGAAACCAATGCCCTTGAGCTCAACTTCCATTCAGAATTTGTGTTGTTGTTGTTGTTGTTGTAAAATAGAGGCGCTGAATCAAAAGAACTGCTGCTCTTGCGAAACGGCAAACAGAGGCCACGTTCAAGGAGGGGCCGTTTAAAAGCCACCGACACCGTGAAGGATTGCACGAGATTCCACGTCGGTTATCTCCATGGCAATGGGTTGGCGAAATTACGTCCATGTATTTCCGGCGTGTGCTTTTAACAATAGAAGTATTCGCTTTCGTACAATTGATAAACGCTTGCAGTGTTTCTGCTGACGTGGCGTGCGGCTGTCATTCTAGGAAATCGCATTATGCAATGTTGTTTTTATACTCCATTTAGTTTGTTAACATTACAGAAAGTCTCAGCGCATGAATGCAAAATGGTCGTTGCTGCCAACTCGATGATTGTGCTCGGCTGTAGCTGTATTAAGAATTCCACAGAGGCTTCGCAGACCTGAAGGGAGACGCAACCTGAAAAATATACTGACGTTATTGTTTCACGCCTTCCAATTAAGGTTCATTTGGGCATTTGCTCTGTCCAATCTACCTTGTTACCTGTATGTCACATGGGGGAGAGTATATGGCTTGCACGAAAGTGCCAATGTTGTGTAAAGACGACACAGGCCACTTGAACGGGTTTTTCATCCATTGTTTTACGTCTCACAACATGATACTGCAGGGCACCACGGTGGCGAGGTATTAACTACCTCGCCAGGTATACAGGAGGTCATGGGTCGTGGGCTCGATTCTGACCCTGACGGTGCCTGTATATTTTTGTTTCTTTCGGTAAAGTCACGTACAAAGAACTTTACCGAAATAACCAAGAATATGAATCCCTGCAGTCACGAAAGCTTTAAATCGGTGCCTGTATTTTTGAAGTGTTGCATGTTCTCCCCGTGGTCGCGTGGATTTTTCTCCGGGCGTTCCGGTTATTCCCTCCACATTTAGAAACGTGCGTCTAGAGTATTTTGCCGCAACTAAATGTGCACATGATAAGCCACTTCGTTGAGCTATCATTTGTGGCCAGGTGGATTCTGAAAAAGAGCTATATAGCTCAGTAGGGCCTTACCTGTTAATATAAAAAATTGTTTAAATAGTTTCAATGATACTGATAGAGCACAGGGAATATATATATTAAAAAAAGCAATATTTAGAATAGTTACAGTATCCATACCGCGCTCGAGTGCACAATAGCAGCTCTTTCGAATGTCACGAGACGGTAAATTTCACCTCTTTTTTCTCACGTGCAAACCTCGTGATGCTTAGATGAGTCATTTTTTAGGTTGCGTCTTCCTACAATGGAATGAAGCCATGCCATGGTAAAGTCTGCTTCAGCTTTCCCATATCTTTACAGGCGACACCAAGGCATGCACTGACCAGTGAAAATGGATCCCCAGTTTAATGTGAGCACTGGGAAGACACGGTTGTGAGATTGTGTTTGATCAAGTTTATGCTTGCATTGGCATAGGCTACGTTGAGTGGGACAGAGGGTAAATGGGGTTACAACGGCAGGCATGCCGAAGCTCTTTTATAAAGTCCAGTGGGGTCTGGTGTGTTTCAGTGCTCTCCCAATGCACTAATGCACTTTCCAGAGCTTCATTTTATCAGATAACAGACATCAAGATATATCTTTTTTCTGTACCATGTTCACCTTTGAAATAAAATTGCCAAAAGCACTTAAAAGTGACACCGGTAATAATTTTAGGAATGTAATTCGTGCTTAATCACTAACTTTAAAAAAAAGTCGAATACTTTCATACTTGTTTGAGCTTTGTGACTAGTTTTTTTTTTGTGAGAGCCCACTAAATTGAACATATACAAATGAGTTAATGTATTTTGTTGCACTGAGAGGTGTTTTTCGACCAATTATTGTGGCATAACAAAGTAGAAGCCACCCAGACATTCATATTCGCCAATGACCAAACCGTCTTAAATACTTGACTTAAAGCTTTCGTGACTGCAGGAATTCATATTCTTTGGGTTTTTCGGTAAAGTCACGTAGATAGGTTCAAAGAAAAATTCAACCTATCTACGTGACTTTACCGAAAGACCCAAAGAAAACGTCTTAAATACGCGTGATCGAGATGGGTCTTCGAAGCCAATACGAAAGTTGAGACCTACGTTAAAGTACTTAGATGGTTGACCAGCATGGCTTGCCAGGTGTTGTAGGCGCAGGGCTGCCAGGAGATGGCAGCAGTGAGTATTATCCCCTCATATGTTGTGGATTTTCTTCCGGTACTTCCGTTGTTACCTTCAACAGGCCTAACACTCCCAATGCAGGATCGTTTAAAGATTGGCGCCACACCAATATACATGGGCCACTTTATAAGCATTCTTTGTTGACCGGTAAACGTGCCATCAAGCGCGGCCCTGCTTGGTAATGTTTTGTTGGTTCAGTTTTACTTAAAATTATACTAGATTGGTAATGAAAAAATATAAATTTGAGGATTTACAATATTTTTTTTAATTTTAATAATCGCTGTGCATTAAACAAAAAGTTTTCCTTTGAACCTTGTGTCTCTTTCACGTAATAGTGGAAAGGAAGTTTTTACCGTTATTTGATTGAAATGTTTTGGCGATTTGGCTAATTTCTCTACCAAAAATTTGGTTTTCTGACAACTCAGACCTTGCATTGAGCAGAGTGGAGGCCCTTTCTGAGCCCATTTCTCCCACTTAATCTTGCGCCGTTCTGTCACCTATTCAATTTTTGCCAGTCAACACAGGTGAGACAGTTTTATATCATTTACGTTTCACTGGAGGCTATTGGTAAGCATGTCACCCATAGGGATGTGCACGTGGGAGATTTGCAAACTGAGAACATACCTTAAATACCGTAGTCCAAAAAAATACTTTGGATGATGATGTGGATGATTATTATGCATGTACCAATTAACTTTCCCTCTAGTTTCGATTAACTATCATGATTCAGGGTCACGATTAAATTCAAGAATCGATTGTGTGTTTTTTTATCGTTAGTTTTGTGGTTTGGATTGTTAAAAAAAAAGTTAGTCTGCTTCATTACCTTAAATTAACATTAACATAAGATGTCCATATATTTTGCATAGATAATACATAATCAAATCTTACACGCACGGTATGATGAACGTATCGGGAGCTTAAGAATATATTTGAAGTTATGAATCGATAACAGTGTTATATGCCAAATTATTACAATGATGATAATCTAAGTATGAAGTGTGATGTATGCTGCCAGCCAAAGGGTAATGTTAAGACTGAACATCTGCATTATATATTCTTCCCCTGCTTGTCCTCAGTGATCCTTACTCATAAATTCCCATCTATATATTTTTAGTTTCATATATCTTTTTTTTGTTTCATTTGCAGCCTGTGCTTTATACACTTTGAGCCAGCACCACAACCCAGCAAAAAAAAAACATTTAAGTGTCAAATTAGTTTTTTTTATTTTGACTGGAGAATGTTGGCACGTTTGAGGCAGCCTTGCACATGCACATATACTCCACCAGTGTCTGGCATTATTCATGGCTTCAACACGTAACATTTACTGCATTGACATCGCTAAGTCATAGTGAACGTGCATGTTGCAATGCGTTGGGACCAAGTTTAGAAATTTGCTAATTGTGAACGGATGTTATGATTATATGATGTGCGTGTTTGGCATTGGAGCAACAACTTTTATTTTGAAGAAAATAAAGATAAAAAATTTCACTCGTAAAAAAAAAAGGTCTACTTTAGCTTTGCGTAGCTTTTTTTCTGTTTGTGCCCTTGGAAATGTGACTCTGCGTGTGGCGAGCAGCGCTCAATTAACGGTTCACTTGTTACACGGAAAGTCCCGTGTAGCCAGTTACCCAGCTGGTGCATAAGGGAGAGCCGTGGTGCATCAGCACAGAACAAGAAGAGCAAGATTTCGATTTAAAGCTTTCGTGACTGCATGGATTCATATTCTTGGTTCTTTCGGTAAAGTCACGTAGAAGGGAAATAATAAACTAATAAAAACAAAACATAATAAGATAAAATTCTCACGACGTTTCGGCCACAACGCAAGCAGCCGTCCTCAGGTGAAAAACAGAGCTGTCGGAAAGACAGCGTCCTCATTAAGAGGACGGCTGCTTGCGTTGTGGCCGAAACGTCGTGAGAATTTTATCTAATTATGTTTTAGTTTTATTATTGTATTATTTCCCTTCTACGTGACTTTACCGAAAGAACCAAGAACAAGAAGAGCAAGACTTCAAAGTATGGAGGAACTGACTGCGTCAGAGGTGCGTGCAAACATCGTGCTTGAAGAAAGATTTTCGTTGCAGGAAATTGTTTTGCCAATTAACAAACTAAACAATAGACATATAGCACCAAACACAAGGACGAGGTCGTGAATGGTTGGAGAGGAGATGTCCGCAAGGCGAAACGAAAACGATCAACACCTCAATGTACAGCAATCACCGTCGACGACACCGCATGCAGGGTGATCCATTCACGGATACTCCAATCACAAAAAATGAACCCGTAAAAACAAAGTTTTTCACTATAAATCCTTTATATGCGTGGCATCGGTTTTATTTTATTATTCATTTCTGTTTTTCTTGAGTAAGAGTTTCATTTTTATCACATTGGTATTTTAAATAAAATATGAAAATTTATTTTTTCCTAAAAAGTGTAAAATTTTGGAAATTTTTGTTTCACGAAAATAAATTGTCACGCACAACGAGTCTGTGTGCAAAATGTCAGCTCGATTGGATCACGGGAAGTGGGTTAAAAAACGACCGAAAGATTTGCACGGTCGTAAGCGCGCAAGCAAGCAAGCAAGTGAACTTAATATAAAGGATTTAAAAAAGAGAGACGTCATCACAGAGAGAACAGCATTTTATTCCCAAGGCACCACACGCCTCCCACCAATCTCAATACACTTATTACATCGTGAATATTCCCCGGACACACTTTGCCTAACATTGCTAGTGTAATTTTATTGCAACATTCAATGATGACGCGCAAGTTTATGTAATTCACATCTCATGGTTGTTGTTGTTTTTTTGTGTGCAAAAAACAAAGATCCCCCGTATAGTATTACCACACTGCTGGGACAAGTGCTGTTAGCATACAACAACAACCGCCATTCGCCACTAAGTGGCGGTGACGTCACCACGGCGCTCGTGCCATTATATGTGCACGTTAAGGGCACGTAAATTGTCGAACTACCGCTGGCAGGAGGTCACGGGACAGACCCAGGTGCCATGGGTTGACTGGGATGACTGGCCGATGCACCATCTGTGCCTCCTACTGTGCCAACTTGCTGTGTTTTAGCTACCAGGCACTCTGCTCGTTGTTGTGAGCGTCGCTCCTCTGCCCTCCGTTGTTGCTGGAGGGCGACTACCTCCAACTGCCAAGCAGTGTCCTTCAAGAGCCTCCTTCTATGTTAGCACACACAGACATACACACATATACACATACACACATCTGCGCAGTTTTTGACGTGACCTGGCAATAAAAACATACAGTTGGGGTCATGCCAGGTGAATTCAAAGGCCACACACAGTTGTTCCACCTCGGCCAATCTAAAGCAACAAATGTCTCGTGTAACTACTCAACGGTGCTGCAGGAGAACAACATCATTAGAGATCAGTGGTGTATCTATAAATGGATCGCTCTGTGCTTTGATTGCTTAAGAACTATTTAAGAGTGCGGTAAAAGATGGGCCTGGCAGGGGCATGAAGGGGCAGAGCCGACGGTGGAAGGGGCCACCAGGGAATGGAGGTCACGGTTGATGGAGAGAGAAGAGGAGCCAGGCTAATGGGGAATATTCACCCCGTCCTCAGGATGGGCTGCCCTAAAGCATTATGCAAACACAATTCTTATTATTAGAGCTCCCAGAGTAGACGTCCTTGATACAAGGTGTCTGAAAATGTAGAACTGTTCGGAAATAAATGACTGTTATATTGTTGACATATCCTGTCCGTGTATTATTTTAATGATGCAATTTTGCTGCATATTATTTTGCCCAAGGCTTAATAATAATAACAGTGCAATGCATTCCTCTGTAAACGTGTTCCTGTTTTCCCGCATCATGTGGGCAGTCATGCTTTAATACCGTGTCCTCTAAAAATGGTCCAATTGCCCTGGATGAACTCAATTATGCTCTAATCACCAGATTCACTCACCT